CCCCTAACCCCTCCCACGGCCGGCGCACACCTACCTACCTCCATGGCCGCCGCGCCCCAACCCCTTCCAACCACTGGCGCGCCCAGCGGCCATGGTGGGAGCCGGCCACCACCGGAATCTGCGAGGCCTCCACCACCAGATCCGGCCGCCATGGCCATTGGTGCAGCCACAAGCCGACGGATCCGGCTGCAACCCATCACCTCCCGCGCGTGGTGGCCGTATGGGAGGGCCGACGAGCTCCATGCCACCGCCGGGATCCTCCAGTGCCCCTACTTCCTTCTTCCCCTTCGGCTGCACTGCCTCCCGCTCTGCCTCCCCGCACTTTGCCGGCGAGCCACCCATCCTCCACGTGCATTGCCGGTGCGCCGGCCTTTCTTCCCGCAACACATCCTGATCCATCTGCTCCCGCTCACCTCACCCCGCCACCTCCCAGCGCACCCCCTTCCCCCTCCACCCTCTCGCAGGCCACAGATCCGTGGCCCTCAATCCTTCCCCAGGGGTGGATCCAGGTGAGGTCGAGCGGTGCCGTCGCATCTCCTTTCCCTTCCCTCGGCATCGTCGACCCCCTCCTCGCCTCGATCTGCGGCAACGCCGACGACCGGCAGTAGGGTGCTCCGCCCTTCCTCGTTGCCACCTCGACTGAGCCGGTGCACCTCCTTCCCCCCTCCTCTCCGCACTCTTCCATGGACGGCTACACAGAGTCACCATCTCCAGCGCGCGGTTTCACCAGAAGGAGCCCGGGGAGTGCCTCTCTCTCAGCACCATGGCATTTCCGACACAGGGGCTTCTAGTTTGCAAAATAATTTTTGTGTAACTTTTTTTCAGATTCTTGATGTTGATTTGAGTGAATTCAGTTTCTAATGAAGTTTGTTAATTCTCTCAGGGTAGTTCGGTTGGCGCCGGCATGAGGTTCACTAGCTCCTGTTTGCAGCTTTTTTTTTGACGGGGAAGGGTGGTAGCTCCTGGTTGTAGTTCGCCATGGTAGATGGGTTGATGCAGCCCACTTGAGCGAGTCTTGTGGTTTACTGCATTCAACAAGGAAAAAAAGCAAAGAGTGTAGGATGCAGCCCACTTGTTTCATCGCCGCAGTGATCGCCTCTCTCCCAGCAGTTCAGTTCACTCTGTTGCCAACTGCAGAAAAAAAAGGAAAAGCTTGATTTTTTATGCAGCTCACTATGTCTCCAGGTGTAAAACTATAAAGATAGGTGTGTATGCTTTGAAGCTCACTTTGTTGTCTCACGCAGCTCGACTAGTCCTCAAGTCCTGTTCGGCTGGTGACAGTTGATTTTGTGTGTATGTATGTGTGTTTAGCTGTGTAAAAATAATGAATAGATATATATGTTTTGAAGCTCACTTTGTTCTCTCACGTGGTTCGCTATAAAATTCCTTTGTGGTTCACTATATCAAATGTAACATCTGCAGTGCGTTTGATTCTCGGATGTGGTTCACTTTCCAAAGTGATGTTGTTCATCCGTACCCAACATAAAAGTGCGAAAGAATTAGCGAAACAATAAGAGAGTAATGTCATTCACTTCGATATATGCCGTGGTTCACTTGCCCTCGTCTCTGCGGTCCACTCGTATATAAAAAGTTGAGAAAAAAAACAAAAACTCGTCTGAGAAAATTTACATCCGACAAAAGAAATCATGAAGTTCACTTGACCGTCTGATGCGGTGCGGTTTTCCATCCGAAGCAGTGCGTTCTTCTGTTGTTTATAAAAACTGGCGACAAAAACTCACAAAAGCTCATCTGAGAAAATTTACGCCCGACAAAAAAAATCATGAAGTTCGCTTGACTCTCTAATGTAGTGCGTTTTTTCGTCTAAAAGCAGTGCGGTTTTCTTCCTCGTCTTCAAAAATTTACGTCCCACAAAAAGGAAACCATGCAGTTCTTTTACCCGTCTGATGCAGTGCGGTTTTTTGTCCGATGAAGTGCGGTTTTCAATCGGATGAAATATCCACGTCGATTTGGGTGTCGCGAAAAATAGAGTGTCCGCATTTCGGTAAATTCGAAATTCCTTTTAAACCGTAAAGAATTAGAGAGAGTGTTCTACATGAAAGAGTTGCGTATCGTCGATATCTTTCCAACGGCATATCGTTTGAATCATTCCGACCAGCGGTTTGCAAAAATTTCGCGAAAAACGGCCGCTGCCACTCGTCGGCCGCCGCATGATTTTCAAAATTAACTTAAAACCGTAAGGAATTTCAAAAATGTTTCAACATATGAAAGTTGCGCCTCGTTCGTAGCTTTCCAACGGCGTATCACACGCCTCGTTTCGACAAACGATTCAAAAACTGGAGCAAAAACAGTACCGAAAATTTTAAAAAACTTGAAAAACAGAGTTCCGCGATTTAGTAAATTTGAAACTGCTCTTAAACCGTAATGAATTAGAGAAAGATTTATATATGAAAAAGATGCGCCTCGACGATATCTATCCAACGGCGTATCATTTGCTTCATTCCGACAGGTGGTTTAGAAAAAATCGCGAAAAAACGCTCGCTGCCACTCGTCATGGGCCGCACCATTTTCAAAACTGCTCTTAAACCGTGTGGAATCTCGAAAAGTGTTCAACATGTCGAAGTTGCACCTAATCCATAGCTTTTCAACGACATATTATATGCCTCATTCCGATAAACAGTTAAAAAATTAGAGCGAAAACAATACCGAAAAAATTACGCATGCAGTTTTTTTCGACGAAAAGTTCAGTAGTCTCTATTGCAGTGCTCGTCGTCAAAATGATGCAGTGCGCTTCTGTTGAGCGTGCAGTGCCGAAGTGGTGTGCAGAATAGTTATTCTGCTAATATTAGCAGAATAGACCGTCTATAATAAATCATATTAATGTTAGCAGAACTACCCATTCTTCATGCAAGACTTTCCATAGTTACGATCTATTTTTGTTTCCTAATTATTAGGCATGCAAGACTTGCCATATAATAAATCATATTAATGTTATGGTTATCTAGTGCGCGTATTTTTGTTTCCTAAATATTTAATAAATACCAACTCGTATATACTCAATATTTTTTTGAACTATTATATTTCATTTTTGTTTCCTAACTATCTAATATGGGTTCGAATACCTACTAATGCATATACCCAATAATTTATTTCCTAGCTATCTAATACTTGTATCCGGTACCTACTGACGATGTACATACACGGGTACATATATTCCAGGCTGCATAAAATATGGCTACATA